ATATCTAATAATGGTGTGCGTAAAAATATTGAGAAAAAAATCTTCTTTCTTTTTATTTTTTTTATTTTTGTGGCATTCCTTATGCTTTCTCTAATTTAGTAATTATAAAGAGAGTCATTTGTGGTCCCTAAAAGCATATAATACAATAGAAAAATTCTTAATCACCTAATTTAAAATGTAAAGATAGGATTATTGTAATAATTAATTACAACGCCTTCATAATAGAATTATACGACTCATATATATAAATTATGGAATATTAGTATTTGTATGATTAATTAGATAGATAATATAAAACAATAAAGTTGGTAATGGGAACAATTTTAAAATTCCACGTCGGTCATGGATGGTATAAATTTTAATTTATAATTTCTGCTGGCTGACTTATTGAACTCAGAGGTCAAAGCTTCTATATTAGAGTTTATAATTAATTTATTACATAATTATTATATTCTACCCTAATAAAATTGAGTTAATTAGAAGTACAGCTTCATTTAATACTACATACGTACTTTAATTAAGATACTTATAGTTAACTAGAAGACAAAATAGAGCACAAATTAAATTAATTTTTTTAATGATGGATTAGGACAGTTTAAATTTTTGACTTTATACATTACGCGCATAAGAATTTTTTATTCTCTTTGCATTAAAAGTTGGAGATTAATTCAACGAGTAAGAGAATTTTGTGAACCTTTTTTCCCTTTATTTTTTGGTTTAATTAAGATTTATTAATTAATTTACATATATTGAAAAACAAATAGTTATAGCATGATGGTTAAAAACTCAAATGAAATGGTAAAAATAGTGAGTGTTTAGTGCATGCAAAGTTTTGCTCATCCACTCATGAAAATGAAGTGAAGCAAATTAAACTCTAGGGTTGTTTGGTTCAAAATCGGGTTATTTCAATTTTGATAATATAAGTTGGATTATTCGACTTTGTGAGTTATACAACAAGGATTTTCTTACATCAGAGAGTGTTGATTAATTAGTTCATACATGTTAATAGGCTTGAACTCGCACTATGTGAGAGTACCTGAAATTGATAAAATAGTTCAAGAATTATAATTTTGAAATAATTTAATCCGCGAACAAACAATCCAGAATTTGGATGAGTTTTTTTTCAATTCCTTGTCTTTTTTTGTTGGGGTGAGGACCTTTCAACTTGTTATGGCTGCCGCCCAGGGGAAGTTGGAGAAACAAAATATTAAACTAACATTATCTTCTTTTAAAAAAAATCAAACTATCATAAAGTTTGTCCTTCAATGTTTTTTTTTAAATTATTTGGCAAAAAAATGTTTCCAATTTGATAAGAATTATGGAAGCAATATATCGCACATTACTTGTGGTCTATATGAGACATTAAAATGTTGTCCTCAACTTTATGTCCTCTAGAAAAATAGAAATTACAAAAACTCGAATATAATGCAGAGTTCAAGTTTCATCCCTTCTTTCTCCTTTAGCTTACCTATTGAATCCCCTTTGAGGGAAGCTTCGGAAAAAAAAAAACTTCAAATATAAACTAGCAATAAATTGAAATAATTTGTTAATTAATATAAACTAGCATTAAAGAAACTTTTTGAAAATTCAAACAAATTACAACAAATATAATTTGTTAATTAATATTCCCATTCTCACTTTTATTAATTCACAAGATTAAGTCATCAATATGTCGACACTTTTTTCCTTTCTAGAAACACAACCTATTTTTTAGGTGTTATGTGTTGACATTGCTTTTTTATGTCTTTAATTAACATCTCTAAAGTCAAAACTATATCGTACGTACATACAACATAGACGATAATCGAAGTTAGATTTAAGTACGAAAGAAAATTTTTAAAAAACATCATTTTAATACTTTCTCCGTTCCTTTTTAGTTGTCGTGTTGCGTTTTTCGAGAGTTAATTTTACTAATTTTTAAAGCTAAATTAGATTACATTAATTCGATATTTTAAAATAAAATTTTAGATATTTAAAAACTATATGGAAAATTGAAAGTATTGTAAGTTGCAACTTTTTTTATAACAATATGATGAAAAGATACATCTTAAAGTATTAGTCAAAATTCATAAGTTTGAGTCTCAAAAAGAAAACTATTATTATAAGTAAAAAGGAATGGAGGGAATACCTTATTGACCAAATTATGAAATGATGACAACATAATTACATAATTAGGAGGAACATCTTAATTAAGCAGACCTATTAGTGAGACTAATTAATCTTGAATTAAAAGTCCATTTAAGTTGACTAATGTGCTATAAACTTTAATTAATATGTGTTGGTCCAATGCTTTGGCTAGTTTAAGCACATTTTGACAATGAAATTAAAGGCTAATTTAATTAGGGCACAGTGTTGATTCTTATTCGGTAGATTAAATAACTAAAACAAATAGACTCACTATGTCGACAATCAGTTTATTCTAATAGTATTGTGGTTTACTTTTTCTCTGTCAAAGTATTTAAAAATGATGAGTTTATTTTTAAAATTATTATGGTGTACTTTTTCTATGTCAAAGTTTTTTTTAAAAGGAAAAAAATTTGTCAAAGGATTTGTCGTTTTTAAGTTCAACAATCGATGTAACTGGTCATAATATCTACAAGAACAATGTGAATTAGAATAATAATACCTCACAAAAAGATAACAAATTGTTTGCCCTATATTGGTGTAACTTGTTCAAACTTTGAATATCATAGGTTAGGTAATAGGTATTCGATAATTTTAAAAAGTAGTGAAGTCGCATTTAGCAAGACAGATGTTTATGTTATGTATTTGGTAATCACTAGTTGAACCTCGATTGAAGTTGGGGAGGATGAATGATATCATTATAGAGAGATCAAGCCAAAACTTATTTGCATGGTGATCACAAATTTTTTTTGTCTTATAGACCTATTTAAGTTTTCAATTGACAAAGTGAACTACTTTCATTTTTCCGTTTTAAAATTTTTTCTCAAGGTCTTTTCTTTTTCTTCCACTCTCAATCTTCACTATGCACATGATTGTGAGTTATTGAGGTACTAAAGCTCTTTTCTTTACGATGAATTCAACACTTTTCGATCAAAGAAAGTTGCTCGAATAGTAAACAACTCCTTACTTCCAACCTTAAAGAGTTGGACCAAAACAAAAAAAATTGGAAAAAGTTGATGTTAAAGTTTGAAAAAGATGGTCAAGCTCAAGTTTAACCCAGTAAAGTTATCCATACTCTTGAAAAGATGAGAATTAATCTCGCATAATTAATTAAATTTTAACTCACAAGTAAATTATGATTTACCTAATCTAGAAATTGAATCATTTCACTAAGAAAATAAATGTGACCCTTTTATTTAGATAGAAGACTTGACTAGGCAGTTTCAAGTCATCTACTTACTAGCTACATAGCATATGATTCAGCACCCAAATGCTGGGGAGCAATGTTAAACACAATAATCACAATAGTTCAGTTGATTAACTATCTACATCTCGTAATCCCCTTTCCCTTTATCACTTTCCTACTCAACGAAAAATAAATTATAAAAAGAATGTTAAATCACAGCCTACAGGGCAAGGCTTAGTTGTTTTCTTATGCAGATTTTATGCACAGCACCAGTAGTAATGCTAATGGCCAAACATCATTTATCTGGAAATACATTGTTCCCACTACAATGCACCAGGTGATCCACCGGCCAGAATACAAGATTTGCACATATGGACCACGGACAAATGAATGGCTCAAAAGAGATTAAAACTACAACAACGACGATAGAAATTGGACTTAATTCATTGAGAACATATCTCTTAGAACAGCTAATTAAACTGAAAGCACCTAAGAAGGGCTTATTTCAATCCACACAAGAACGCCAGAATTGGCAATGGTTTTAATAAAAATGAGATATATCCTCTCCAAAATGTCACACTACGAAACAATTCCATCTTAATGAAGCTCTCTGTCCAGAGCCTTACCAAATTGAAGATCAGGTTCAGCTCACAAGAACAAACAGTGGCTTATCTCCTAAGCGTTCCCGGCCCTGAATTAAAACAAACATAAACAGAAAATATGAATTAGGGAAAAATAAACTAGTATAACATATTGGAACAGGAATAACACATGATGGGGCAGAAAACTATATCGACTACCCCTTAGTAGACAGAAAAGAAAATAATTTGGGATAGAAGATTAAGCTTGTAATCAAAGATAAATAGATGATATGCACTCACAAGCCCAATAGTCTGTTAGCAATATCGTGCTCAGAAAACCCAGCAATGGGGTGTGAAAATCAAGAACTATTAGCTGATTATATCAACAATAGAAATGCTGGCATACCTTCAATTCTGGCAACTCAATGACACATGCACACTCGAATACCTCAACTCCAACACGCTCTGTGAAGAAAAAGCAAGATAAACAAATTTAAGAAATTGAAACTCCAATGTTACAACTCACACAAGTCGTCCTCTCCACGAAGTTCCAAAAGATCATGTTGTGTTTTCAAATAGTTGGAAGCAAAAGGCGTGGTCAAACATCTAATAAATAAAAGGTTTCTCTCTCGTGGTTATCTAACAGATAGCTTATGATGTTACTCATCTTGTGTCTTAAGAACAGGAAAGACAGGTTTAGTAGAATATAAAGAACTGGATAACAGTGAATGGGCTTTTCAACCAACTAGGATATCTTTCAGAAGATTAGAACTGAATAAAGGTAAAGTACCAAGAAGCCTAATCGCAGCAGTTAGAGTCCCTCCAGTCGCAATTAGATCATCTACCACGAGGGCACGTTCACCAGCTTGCACAGCACCTACATGCATCTCCATCTTGTCTGTTCCATACTCCAAAGAATACTCTTCTGAAATAACCTCCCCTGAGAAAATGGGAAAAGCAGAAGAGTGAAGCCTTGTGCATTGCAATGCCAAAAGAACTAACATTCATGGATTATCTCATTGAGTTTCATCATGAATTATGGAGGTGAGGCAATAAACAACAGAAATGATCAGTTTTCACTTTTGACCTTCGTAGTACATACAAGCAAGCAGAGTCATAAAAGACCCAATGATTTTATTCACTGAACAGGAAATGGATCTAATCAATTTGTCTAGTCAAGAGTCTCAGCCTGATCTTAAAAATTTGATATTGACAGTGTATTCACCATTATTAAGTTGCATCCCAGTTCAAAGCTTATCTTGTGCTCTTATTGTTCCTCACTAGTACAACTAACATTACTAAGTTAAACACATAAAGATGATGATAGAACTACCTAAAACTGAATGCTGGACTGGACAGGAAAAGCAAGATGTGAACTAAGTAGGCGTTTGGCCATGCGATACCATATCACGATATGGTATCGTGAGATGGAATCAGCGTTTGGACATGTGATTTTACGCTGATTCCATATCATGATTCCATATCATGAGATGTGATTCCATATTCTCCAAAAATCATGATATAGAATTATATGGTAATTCCATATCATGATTTGAGATATTCTAATACAAAAATTGATCCACGAGTTTATATTTTGTTAAAACAACCCCACATTTATATCTACTAACCATTTATTTCATAAGTCGATAAAATTTATAATCCCATCATTACTTTTTAAAATTTATTATTCTCACCAACCTATAGTCACTTTAACTTACACCAACCGATTGTTAAAGTGATTGTAAGTTAAAGTGATGAAATATTTATGGTCTATGAGCATGAAAATATAGTTGCGGATGATATTGACCAACAAATGGCTCAAAGTAACAATGTTGGTTCGTCTTCGCGGTCACATGATCGAGAAATGCAAGTTTAACGTGAGGAAATTGTTCGTACTTGTGGGAGGATTATATTAAAGACTAGTACACTACAATTTATGTTCAATTTTTTTTTATTAAATTAAAGTTAGATGAAACAATTACTTAAGAGGAAAACAAATACCTTTGTAATAATTTATTATGCGATTTTATAAATTTTTGTTTATTTGATAAGATTGAATAAACAATTGGAGTTATTTTAATAGCTTTACAACTTATGAGATTTTTATGTTTATGAGAAAATATACAACACAAAAATTCCATATCGCATGTCCAAACAAAACTTCAATTTCATCTCATGATTCCATATCATGATACCATATCACATGGCCAAACGGGCCCTAAGAATGAGTATATAAACATGCACAAAATGCATCTAGTCATTTACTTTGAACTGGATACTACTTGTTTCTTTTTATATTTATCTTAGCCTTGAAGTTTTCAAATTTTCCACGGAATTCAGCTGCATTGCATGAGACCCTGTTTTAAGCTGCTTGAATGTTCTCAGTTTCTTTTTATTTTGAAACTAGATAAGCATGTCTCAATGTTCCTTGATGTGATTACATTTTCTTCCTCCACCGCCCCCCTCCCCCATGCTCGAGCAACAATCAAACACAACAACAAACAAACCGCACATGCAAGAAAAATACAACTCCCACTGACATGAAAAGGCAGAAAAATAGTGATAAAGCTTACCAGGTAACTTCTTGGGTTTCCTCATGGGGACAAATTTTGCTCCAATAGCCAATGCAATGGGAGGACCAAAGATAAAACCTCTTGCTTCAATACCTGAAGTAGACCATTACCACATGCTCAAAGTTAATTTTCCAGAACAAATGTGGGGTTTATCACCTATGAGAGCAATATTTAGAGTCAAACATGCTAAAAAGGAGCATCAAAACAGGAAATGGCTACACCCTAGCCTTGGTTACTAGGAACTCATGAATACACAATATAAACCCTCTGAATTTCCAATGAATCAGGGATCTAGAACTTCGGAGTGGTATCTCATTCATAAGAAGAAGGCAACACTGAAGAGGGAGGGTGAGTATTGTTTTCTTTCATATTTCTTGAACCTAACTATTGAAAAAATTAAAATGAGCTTTATATTTCCTTCTCACGCACCTTTTACCAGCTGTACTTGGGAACTCAAATATTCTATAATCTCCACCGATGGAAGCATGGTCCACAATTGGAAATACATGTTATTTTGTTTTATTTTCTTTTAACTTCTTGTGGGCATGTGAAGGAGAAGAGTATTCTCTTCAAAAATGTGAGAAATTGTCATTAAATAAACTCATCCATATTTGCCAACATGGTCTAGCTTGATCCAATTGTGCTGTTAGAAATAAAATTTCCACATGTCTGCACATTTTAGATTTATGGCGCATATCTCAGCTGACAGCTATGCATCACCAATCCCTATTCCAAATTGAAGTCTTACCATTCTTTGTTGCATGTTGCTTCGTACTTTACACAGGTTAACATGTTCATCTATAAAATTCGAGAATAATCTAAACTTGACCACGTAAAAATGCTTAAGGTTCACCCCATATCCATCAAATTACATTTGCATTTTTCATTTTATATTTGCAACTGAAGTCAAATGTTGGAGAGTTGAAGAGATTGGTTACTCTTGGTCAGTGTTACCAGCAGAGATACTGTCCCCAACTCCCAAAAATTAACAAGCAAGAAACCCTCCAAAAGAGAGTTCTCCAGCCACATTATATGATTATAAAAATCAAGTTATCATGCCTGTCTTAAGTACTTATATGAGGTGTTCAACTGAACACATGAGTTTCCAGTTCTGTAATCACAAGATTAGGTATGATAATGGTAAAACTACAAAAAGGATGAAGTGTTGGTCACAAGAAAATGAACCTCTTCTTCTTTTTCCGTTTATTAATATAAAAGTTTACAAATCTGAAGCTTGTAGTATCATGTTGAGTTATATAGTTGCCCACATTGTCCAAGTGCTTACAAAAGAGTTTATAGTTATCTAGGGCTATTCCATTGGGTTAGATGCTCAAAGTATCATAAATCTAACTATAGAAAGCAACATTTTGCTTTTCTAAAAGATGGTGCCTGAATTTTAAAACAAAGGTATAGCCTTTAGGGGTCTAGAAAAAATATAGCATGCATTAGCTTTGTGTACTACTAATACTATGTTTAATACTCTTTTTCAACCTACGTATAACTAATACAAGCATTATTAATACATCATATTCAGCACTATTCTTATACACTCTACCAAACGACCGTGTTTTCCTTTTAAGCTACACATAAAATGCTGTTAAATAGAGAACCTAGCAACCTAAAACATCAGATGGTGTAGTATTCATAGCATAACTCCTAGATCTTCAAATCTCAGCTTCTAAAGCTTGAAATTAACTATCCTTTAAACTAATAACTTCAAAATGAAACAGTTCAGGCGCATTACAAATTCAGAAACAAAGAACTGACCTGCAACCACACTGATGTTTTTGTCCTTATATCTCTCAACAAACAAATCAATAGTGTCCTTAAACGCCTTAGGATCAAGTAGCAAAGTCGTTATATCCTGAAACATGATCCCTGCCAAAAAAAAATAAAAAATCACCACACAGCAAAGTACTCATTCCGTTAACACAAAAACCAAAAAAAAACACAAGTTCTACTGCTACAAGTACCAGAATCATTCGAAGTAGAGGAAGAAGAAGTAGGTACCTGGTTTAGGAAAGTCGGGTATGACCCGAATAGCAGAAGCAATCCCAGCGATACGTTCGTCTTTAAGAATCGGATCATGAGGCGCCATATCTACTGAGCTTACTGGATCTCCGATCGGGATCGTTTTCAGCTCGGGTTCTTCACCTGCTCCGGTTCCGGCAGCTCCTTTTGACACAGAGATTGGTGAAAAAAGCCGAGTATTTCTACTGGAAGGGGTGGTTAGGGTGGTGGTAGGTGATTTAATTTGGACCAAATTACCCCTGTTATAATATCTGTTTGTAACTTTTTCTGGGACGAAATTGACCCTGGTGAATTTGAGAGCAATTTTGTGGGCTATTGACTCCATTTTAGAATAGGATTTTGCAAAAGAGAGTGCCCTTTTTAAATTACGGTATGGTTGGTGGAAACTGATAAATAAAGGGTAATTTCGTCACTTTACGATCTAATGGTGCACATTTTGAAGGGAAAAAAATGATGACATACTTACCCAAAAAGAGTTTAAATTAAATAAATAAAGAAAAAAATGAAATTTATATAATCAAATTATTCAGAAAAATATTATGCATATAATTTTTTAATAGTAAATATGAATTCATAAAAGTAATACTATATATTTTCTGATTTTGTCGAATTAAATTATATTTATAATGCTATCAAATTGATAATATCAACATATTAGCTTAAAAATCTTTCAAACATTAGAATCTAAAGCAACGAAATCTTTTTAAATGTGCTCCTGTCTTTTAGAAGTCGAAAAAGTACTTTTAAAGAATTGCAATTTGTGTATGGTTGATTAATTTAATTTTTTTTTAAGATTAAAGCAATCATTTGTGGTTGATCAAGATTTCAAAAATATTTTTGAGAGAAAAATACTATTTTCATTTTTTGCTTATTTTTCCTCTAAAAGCGTGATCAAACAATTCAACTTTTTTAAAATAAGCACTTGATAAAAAAAAATTTGACTTTCAGAAACTTGATCAAGCAAATTATTTTGTTTATATTATTTTATCTAGTGACATCATCATTTATGTTGTAACATATTATTTATTTTTTCTCTTTTATCTTTATTGAACTTGTTAACTAAATAACAACTTTCTATGAAGGGATATTTCAAAATTGTAAACTATCAAAATTACAGATTTTTCACAACTAAGAAAGCAAACTATTGACATTCAAGATTTGGATTGAAAGAATCAAAATCTAAGATTATATTGATTTGTGTTTTCAATTGGTTACGAAGGAATAATTCTTTTTACCAAAAATGTCATGTACCCAAAAATACTTTATATTATTCTTTTTTCCTATTCAATTTATTGTATGCAGCATGTTTCGCGACTTAAATTCAGATCATATTATCTAAGGAACTTCAATGCTAAAAGCAACTCCAAAAAAAAAAAAAGAGTCAATGCTAGTAGAAAAGCTACCTTTAGTGGTGAAAGGACTTGTGTTAGGTGCACAACTTGATAGTTTTAGACGACATACGCGATTGAGATTGAAATTTTATGTCTGATTTTAAATACTTTTATCTGAAGTATGACTTTTTGTGAAAGTTGGATATTTAATCTAAAATTTAGTATGATTTATCAAGCCAACTTCAGATACTTTTTACTAAAATTGTGGCTTGGTAAGTCCTATTCTATACATATTTGATTGAAATTGTGAATTTGGCAAGGCCAAACTTTGAATATTTTTTTTACTTAAGTTATGAACTTGACAAGACTTACGATATATAATAACTTACCAATGCCAACTTTAGACATATTTTTACTAATGTTGTGACCCTGAGAAGGCCAACTTAATATATTTTTGACAAAACTGTAAAGTTGGGCTCTAAAGGCCTTCTGCAAAAATAGATTTGGGCCACACAAAATTGAGATAATCGTTTTGATTTTTGAAAATCTCTATTTACAATATATTTAATTTTTAAAAATTATTTAAAACTTCATCAGTTTTGGTAAATTTCAAACCATTTATGCTGCTGTTTTTTTTTCTCCCCAGACTGTGGGTCAACTTCAAACCATGGTCGGGTGATTGAGATTTCCTGATCAATATGAGTTGTGATGGAATGATTGAGATCTCTTCATCTTAATCAAAACTCTCGAGTAAGAACTTTTGAGAATGAAATAAATTATGTTGGAACGTCGTCTAAAAAATGAACCTTGCATTGCGCAAAGTCAAATTTAATCACTTCTTAATACAAGTAAAAAAAAATGTTTGTCTACCAAGAAGTACCATCTACACTCTTTGTTTTAGTTTGATTCACATGTGTTTCGTAGGTTGAGATATAAAATTTGTCTTCTCAATAATGAATGGTAAGATGTACTTTTAAGTTCAATGAATACTAGACTAAGTTATCGAAAATAATCTCTTCTTTATAAAATTAAACTTGTGCAACATAGACCAATTTTCATTGAAAAATGGAATAAACGTGTTTCATATTGTGGAATGCATCTTTTGATTTATTTAGGAATATATAATTCTCGAAAAAGTGATCGACTTTTTTGTTGAAGCTGTGCCACGTGAACTCCAACCCACTGCACCAAATTTTACATCAAAAAGAAATATTTTTCTCTCTCATTATTATATTATTATTTCTTATTTCATTTATATTTTCTTATTTCATAAAACAAGAACAAACTCGAATAATGGAAAAAAGAAGTCAACACTTTCAGCAGCCACAACCACAACAATTTTCGACCCCATACAATTCATATTTTAATAGTATTGATGGATTGGAAAGAATCTGTCAGATTATTAAGTTATTGTTGTAATTTTTTTAAATTATTATGTCTTGTTGTACTTTTTAAAATTATTATGTATTTTATATTTCAATTTTGATGTATGTCAATTACTACTTTGTTGAATGTTTATATTTTCGGTTATTTTAAGTACATTGATTATTTGTTTAAAAATTTATATGTTTGCATTTTTAATTTTGTGAAGGTTAATTGTAGTTATATTCAATTATAATTTATAGTAGAATTAACATAAATTTAATTTTTTTAAAAGTCATATATAGAAAAATTAATTTATAAAAAAAGCTAAAATTTTATAATCTAAAAATTAATATTATAAAAAATATTACATAAAAAAAATAATTAAAATATACAAGAGATTTAATCAAAAACATACAATTTATATAATGTTTAATTAAAAGTTTATATAATGAAATACTATTAAAATATTCAGAAAGTAAATTGGTGTGATGAATAGTGTTACACCAATTTTGATGTAACACTATTCACACACTAAATTTGGTGTTGGATTGGAGATGTCTAAATGAATGTAATTAAGCTTTTATAATTGGATATACGACGATTGTAACCTAGTTGTTTCTTCTTTTTTTCTCCATCATTTTTGTTATCATTTTAGCATCTTGACTTTTTATTTAAGAGATTAATTCGAATATTGCTATGCCATTTTAAGTAAATTATTAATTTCAACTACTCTATTGGTATGGGGTAAAAATCAGACTATACACATGGTCGAATTGGAAAAAAAAAAAAAGGAGTATTAAGTGATACGTGTAATCTTTAAATAATACGTCGAATTTTATTCATTCTAGATATGGTGAGAGCTATACTCCCAGCCATATTAGTGAAGAGTAACCTTATTGCTAGACACACCTGAGTTGATTGAGCTCAGTGTTGAACCTTTGAGCCTGTCTAGCTATGGGTTGAAAAGGCCAGTACAAGTCTTTGTCAGAATAGAATAAGGATAGTCATTTAACTTTTATTTTATCACATTATAGTTATTAAACTTTTTTTTTTTAATAAAGATATCACTCAACAAATTTATTAAATATTACAGAAAGTTATTAAATATTTGTTATGATTAAAAAGATCACTCATTTTACCTTAATATAAGTAATATTATGTCCGCTGCATCATGGTGTCTTATAGTTCTATATGTTTCATCATAGCTAGTGAGCTTACTACTAAATTACTTCGAAAAAATTGAGTGACTTTTGTTTATAAAAAATAATTTTATAATTTCAATTCAATAAAATAAAAGTTAAGTAATTATTCATTAAATTAACTCTTAATTATTTTTAATTCATTGTTGATTATTGGGAAAAGGGTCTGAAAAATACTCCAACTTTGGCCGAAATTGCTGTTACGATACCAAACTTTATGGAGGACCTTTTACCCCCTGCACTATTTAATAGTGTATTTTAAAGGTATATATGTGCCCACGTGGACACATTACTATTTAAAATGATGCAATATTTATGATGTCCACGTAGGCACATATATACTTTAAAATACACTATTAAATAATACAGGAGGTAAAAGGTCTTTTCCAAAGTTTGGTATCATAACAAAAATTCGGCCAAAGTTAAAGTATTTTTCAGATCCTTTTCCCTTGATGATTTTGTTCTAAAATTACGTGTATATTGAGTAAGCAATGACTTTAGTCTTCAGCCGACGTTGCTCTTGCATGACACATTATATTGGCTTTATCTTACTAGTATATATTTAGAAAATGTCAAATAAAAATTGAGCTTTAATTCTTCTAGTACTTTCCTTATTATATATTTTTCTTCCAAAGCTTGTTATAATGCCAAGTCCAACTCGAGCCGAGCTTGAGTCGACTTTTAATACTTTTTTCGTTCATATTTACTTGTCATTTACCCAGTATTTTGAGTGGAAAAATCTCGGATAAAGGTCTCCCTAATGAAGGCGATTCCATAACTATGAAAATTCGAACCTGAGACCTTTGGTTAAAGATGAATGAGTACTTACAACTCCACCATAAATAAAAAATTTATTATTTATGAATAGAAAATTATTAAATTTACACAATTGTAGCTAGGTGACTAGCTAGCAATTATATTTCCTTGCATTCCTATGCTATTATTTTTTTGGTCTATATATAACGATTAGCTGACTTACTAATAACCAATTAGTGACAAGTGGTACTGTAGAAGTTTCTGTTAATTAATACTATATTAGTGTGGAGTTTTAGATGTTTCCACGTTGCCAGGTTCTTGGTACCTAAAATATGGGGTCAAATATGGATTCTCTTTAGGAAATTCAACTGTTGAACAGTACATGTACGGCTACCGGTCAACTACCAATTTTTTTTGGGGTGGGTGGGGGAGGAGAGGAGATGGATGTGGGATCGGGATACAACGAAATTCAAACTCTCATTAATAAGGTGATCTATAAAGTTATGGTCAACTACCCGTTGTTCATGCGTAAATTGTGTAGTTAATTAGTATCAGTACAAGTTCTTGTATCATTTAAGATAGGACGGAGTTATGATATAGTTGAATAAGTTCATATGTAATTAAATATTTATTATTATTTAATAAATATTTTAATATATATTATATTTGTGAAA